CTGGAGAGCCGGGAGTTGCATAATTTTGTAGAGTAACGTCCGGACTATCTACGCATGCAAAAAAATTACTAACATTGTATGTTAGTTTTCTGAGAACGGAGCTGGTTTTCCAAAGATCCTCTAGAAACGCGATCTCTGGAATTTTTCAAAAGTTGCTTCTGCTTGTAGAAAGTTCTGCTCAAGTCTTGGCTATTGAACAGCGAAAATCGCAGGTCTCCATCTCATTCCTATCAAAAGTTATTCAAAAAGTGGCTGACTGTCTTGTATTTTGGAACGCATAGTAGTAACAAGTAACTAGTCTAGTTACTTCGTTACTCTCCTGAAGGTAACGAAGTAACGAAAATGTTTTTTAAGGGAAAAGGCAACTTCTTTTCGATATTCTCTGTCGTTCTAGCATATAAATCTTGATATGAAAAAGTCACGTTTCCCTAATATGACTAAAGCTGTAGAATTTATTAGTTATAATGCAAAACGAAAATATTTCTCATAACATTTAGGTGCTATGTTAGAACAATAGAGAATATTGAAAAGAAGTTGAACATTGCTTTTTCCTTAAAAAGTAAATTTCGTTACTTCGTTACTTTCTTGAGAGTAACGAAGTAACTATATTAGTTACTCGTAACTTGTAACGAAGTAACTACATTAGTTACTCGTTACTGGTAACGAGCAACTAACATAGTTACTACTTGCTAAGTAACTAAGTAATTAAGTTCTTTACTTTACCTGGTAAAGTAACGCCGAGTAACTAGTAAAGTGCCACCCCTAATTAGAACTATTTCCAAACATAAATGTTTTCACTAATTTTATTTACATTAAAACTCGTTCGAATGTTTGGATATTTGTTTTACATTGCGGACATTGTTTTAATGTGTGGCCGCAACATAAACGTAGTGTACCATGATGGCATGGTATAAATATCAATCGTTTTTGATCAATTATACATTGTGTACATGTTGAAGTATAAAAATAAATTGATGGTATCTTATTTGACTTTGTATCGCTTGATTGAGTACCAAATGTTGAATTAGTATTTTTCATTGAATACGCGGTGATTGTGCCTTTATTTGAAACCAAAAAGAAACATTAGCTTCGAGAAGTATGTTTTTTATTGTTCATACCATTTTGTTCTTGTAATTTATTCATATACATATGTGGTATAATAATATTGTCCTTGTTACCATCGATATATTTACTTTCTTTTTCAAGTATCATACAAGCTACATGTAAATCACTATTACTAAGAAAATCATCATCTATAGATATAATAATAATCAACAATATATAGACATTGTCAAATTTTAAAATTTATCAATTCACTCACAATTTAATCTTAATTGATCTTCATAACAACGTTGAATAATCGATAACGGATACTTATCTCGTAGATAATGTGAAATAGATAAATTTACACGATCATTGACTAATCTCGATAATGTCATTTCATCTTGTATTTGTAATTTTGATTGTTGATTATTATCTCTATTCAGTCGCTCTAAGAAAAAATGTAAAAATATGAAAAATTATTAAGAAGTGAGCAAAAGAGAGAGAGAGAAGACTACCTTGTCGTGGTTAGCAAATGTTTTGATATAAATTTTCGCCACATATGTGTCAAATATAAGCACAATGTGGAAACCATCGTACACGTTCAATGAATGGATTATTGTTATCATTCCAATTTTCTATGGAACCATTACAATAGAAACATGTGACAATTGTCTTTATACCCATATAGCAAAATTCCGCTTTAATCAAATTATCAATGGATTTTAATTGTTGTGCAGGCCATGAATTAAAAGATTCATGACGCTTTGATACTTCAATAGAGGCTGTATGATATGCTGATGTCAAATCAATATCATTGCATCTATCACTATTATTATTTATCATATTGCTATTGTCATTGTTTTGTAATGAAATTAATTTTTTTACACATGGACAAGTGGGTGACAATATTTTGTGTATCTGAACAGGATCATCGGTGTGAATCCATTGTTGACAAATAACATTACAATAAATACATATAACACGATCACTAATATTACACGAGAAAAATCCAGATTCAATCATTTGTTTTTCGATGGTAATTGATGTGGCCAATGTGAAAACATTCGTTTACGTATATTCCTAATCATTTCGACTTCAACAAAATGTTTTGTTACGGATGTTTGTTGATCTATCACAGATAATGCGAATAATTGTGGCTTGAATGACAATTTTTTTTGTCCATTTTTGATTAATGTACAAGAATCTTTAGAGTATATTTCTATTGATTGTTTATGTTGTTCACCGCATACCACACTTTTTGTAATATCATCATCGATTTTTAAACTAACAGTGGTATTATTATTATTATTATTGTTTGGAGAAGATTTATCCTAAAACAAAGCACCA